GTTAAATAGGCTATAATTTGCAAAATCTTACATTATTGTATTTTTTTAACATTTGAGAATTTTAATGTTAAGTCATGACCCTGCTTATTAGAACAAACTCATTGATGATAATAATAATATTAATAAATATGTAATTCCACCATGCTCATTTTATTTTTTGATTATTAGGCGTTTATATCTGAACGTACCATCCTGCAGACGTTCCATTCGTAATTTGTATCATTACATTGTCTAGATGCATTTTAAAGGAAGGTTTCTCAAAACGGTGTGTGTGTGTGTGCGTGTGAGAGAGAGAGAGAGAGTGTTAGCTACAGTATCTGAATGTGTTCTTTGTTTCGGCGACATCAGAAGCGCTGGTCGCAAATGGCGCGGCTGCCATCTGGCGGTCACTGCGAGAGCGACACTCACTCGAACCCAGTAGTACCTGAACATTGACTGACATAATTCTATCAATCGCATATGACTTTGATAATTCAGAGCAACCTAGCGCAGCTTCGTATTAGTACATGTGTTAATTAAACTTTCACACTCTGAGGCTGGAAAAACACAATATACGTTTCAAATAAAAAATAATAATATTAATAAATATGTAATTCCACCATGCTCATTTTATTTTTTGATTATTAGGCGTTTATATCTGAACGTACCATCCTGCAGACGTTCCATTCGTAATTTGTATCATTACATTGTCTAGATGCATTTTAAAGGAAGGTTTCTCAAAACGGTGTGTGTGTGTGTGCGTGTGAGAGAGAGAGAGAGAGTGTTAGCTACAGTATCTGAATGTGTTCTTTGTTTCGGCGACATCAGAAGCGCTGGTCGCAAATGGCGCGGCTGCCATCTGGCGGTCACTGCGAGAGCGACACTCACTCGAACCCAGTAGTACCTGAACATTGACTGACATAATTCTATCAATCGCATATGACTTTGATAATTCAGAGCAACCTAGCGCAGCTTCGTATTAGTACATGTGTTAATTAAACTTTCACACTCTGAGGCTGGAAAAACAATATACATTTCAAATAAAACAAGTTGAAACTGTTCATAATTCAGCATTTCTGAACACGCATTACACAAGTAAATAACCTAAAGTAACTTTACCACATCACACGTAATATAATCGTACCATATGTATGGGTCGATGAAACGATATTCTTTTTTTACCCGTATCGGATTGTCCTAATAACTAGGCCTATTAGAAAACACATTACAACGCAAACATTATTTGAACACACCTCCTCAATTTCTGATATAGCCTACACTGTTGGTGTATACAAAATATTGTTGGTTTAACTTAAGGAAATTGCTTTAGTAAGAAGTAAGAAAAGTAAGAAATTGCTTTCACATTTTGCGTTAATTGAAACTAAATATAGGCCTATAAATAATAATAAAAGTTTACAAAGAGACAAACAGAGCAGACAATGGTATAAAGGATTTGTCACTGCACCATATACATACTGTATGTGATATACTGGGTATATTACATACATAAGGTAGCTTGTGTTAAAGTTGGCTGACCCATAAAGCTTATAGCTGCATGTGAATCATAAATCACGTGAATAAAGCAAGTCTTACATTAAAACAAACCGACTGAATTGTCTGTCTGTCTGTGTCTGTGTGTGTGTGTGTGTGTGTGTGTGGTCATATGTGAGCCTCACTGGACTGATGATCTGTGATTTCAGTGCCATCTGGGCTTGGCCCTCGGGCTGTTTAGATCTTCATGCAACAATCTGACATCAATATGTAACACAGTTGCATCAGACAAAACCCATTCCCAAATCCAGCATGCACAATCAAATCAGCAAACCCCCAAGAACCTTTGTTTACAAACGGATAAACGACAATAACACGGCCAGAGGAATGCGTTTAGATGTGGAGCGACGACCCCATGTTGTATAATCAAAGTTTATTCAGATCACCAGCCTGTTTCACCAATAAGGCCTCCATCTCACACAGCGGGCTGCCGATATCCACCCGATCTCACCTAAACAAAAGCCATCTCATCTCCCAACCAAGCGAGTCATTTCGGGTTATTAATACAACTAATTACTCTTTTTCTGGCCAAATTTGAATTTAAATGAACAATCGGAGACATCATCAAGAGAAGCAAAGGCACCCCGCTGTGTTCTTTTCCTCTGATGGAAAGATTACAATTAGAGCACTGGAGTGGTAAGGGCAGGAGAGAGAGCGAACAAGAGCCTATTACACTGAAAAAATCTCCAATTACAAATCCACTATACAGTTGTCAGTGGTAATTAAATGTGTGGCGAGTGCGGGGGCTTTGCTATTTGTGGCGGCCTTTGTTTCGTCATATTCAAGCCCAGTGACGTGCTCGACGTGAAGGAGACAGACATCAGTGTCTAGAGATGGAGAGAATGGCAGTTTTTTTTTAAAGCAGTTACTTCCTTGTTGTTCAACCATTCATAGCTGAATAGTTTGAGATTATGGATTCTGAATAAATTCTTTCCACCATCTGACCTTGGCCACTTCAGGAGGTTATGGTCAGCGCAATTAAGACTAAATAAATAAATAAAAAAAACAGCTAGAACATAGACATCAGGACATTTAGCATAAAAATGCAGGTTGCATGTTCACGGAAAGTCTTTGTTTTTTTAAGAATTACGAACAGGTTTATATTAAAATCCCATACTGTAACACACAGAATGCCTTCCCAATAGAAGTCCAAGTAAGTAAGCTTATAAATGCAAGCCATTACCCATAATTCTCTTAGCATGCTCTTCAACAGTGGACCCACATGGTACGGTAAGCATTATAAAGGTCTTAAATACAGATTGAGTACAACGCCTTGCTCTCAGGCAACATACTGTTCAGATATCAAGCCAGTTCAATTCAATTAATTTCTGTTCAGTACCCCAAAACCCTGTTTACACCAGTAAATCATTGCTGGACTCACTTTTGCTAAAACATTGATCAAATGAATAGTAGTGTATTTTATTCAAACGCTCTCATTTTAATTAAAATTGTCTTAGTGGAAATCTCAAAGATTATGCAATAAGTCTTAGGTTAGAATATTTGCACATTGAGGCCATCACCATTTATTTCTTCCAGTTAAATGCAGCACACCAAAAACACCAGCCTTTCAATTTCAAGCAAACTGTCAGAGGGAGAAAAAAAACAAAAAAAAACAAATAGAAACAAGTAAATCAAGATCTTCAAATATTTACCACAGGTTACACAACCCTCAAGGTGCATATTTTAGTTAGGACAGGCTTTATACACAAAAACAACAGTAAATAAGACCAAAATAAGTCTGACAGCCTGAACCATTCGAGATATTGAGATGTTCAATCAATAAAGGGCAGGAGAGAGAGAGCGAACGAGAGCCTATTACACTGAAAAAATCTCCAATTACAAATCCACTATACAGTTGTCAGTGGTAATTAAATGTGTGGCGAGTGCGGGGGCTTTGCTATTTGTGGCGGCCTTTGTTTCGTCATATTCAAGCCCAGTGACGTGCTCGACGTGAAGGAGACAGACATCAGTGTCTAGAGATGGAGAGAATGGCAGTTTTTTTTTAAAGCAGTTACTTCCTTGTTGTTCAACCATTCATAGCTGAATAGTTTGAGATTATGGATTCTGAATAAATTCTTTCCACCATCTGACCTTGGCCACTTCAGGAGGTTATGGTCAGCGCAATTAAGACTAAATAAATAAATAAAAAAAACAGCTAGAACATAGACATCAGGACATTTAGCATAAAAATGCAGGTTGCATGTTCACGGAAAGTCTTTGTTTTTTTAAGAATTACGAACAGGTTTATATTAAAATCCCATACTGTAACACACAGAATGCCTTCCCAATAGAAGTCCAAGTAAGTAAGCTTATAAATGCAAGCCATTACCCATAATTCTCTTAGCATGCTCTTCAACAGTGGACCCACATGGTACGGTAAGCATTATAACGGTCTTAAATACAGATTGAGTACAACGCCTTGCTCTCAGGCAACATACTGTTCAGATATCAAGCCAGTTCAATTCAATTAATTTCTGTTCAGTACCCCAAAACCCTGTTTACACCAGTAAATCATTGCTGGACTCACTTTTGCTAAAACATTGATCAAATGAATAGTAGTGTATTTTATTCAAACGCTCTCATTTTAATTAAAATTGTCTTAGTGGAAATCTCAAAGATTATGCAATAAGTCTTAGGTTAGAATATTTGCACATTGAGGCCATCACCATTTATTTCTTCCAGTTAAATGCAGCACACCAAAAACACCAGCCTTTCAATTTCAAGCAAACTGTCAGAGGGAGAAAAAAAACAAAAAAAAACAAATAGAAACAAGTAAATCAAGATCTTCAAATATTTACCACAGGTTACACAACCCTCAAGGTGCATATTTTAGTTAGGACAGGCTTTATACACAAAAACAACAGTAAATAAGACCAAAATAAGTCTGACAGCCTGAACCATTCGAGATATTGAGATGTTCAATCAATAACACCCGATTCCACATTACAGAAAATGTTGAAAAGGCTAAAAAAAATAATAATTATACCACATTATAATTAAAAAACGAACAAGACAAATATATTCTGTTATAACATTTATATAAAACATAAATGAGCTATTATATAGAATATAAATATTATATAGAATATAAATGTTATAGATACATGGTAGCAACCGGCAATATCGAATTCATGCACCATTCGAATCAGAAAGAAAGAAAAAAAGTATATACAGAGCTCTAAAGGCTACAAAAGCTAGAGGAAAAGAACACACTACAACATTTTATTCATCCCTTTATGTACACAGTTGGAGGTAGAACTAATTGTTCTAAGTACATCTACTATATTTAGGACAAAAAACAACACCAAGCCCTCAGTGTTTGCTTTTAGATGTTTGGGAGCAACACTGACAGACAGATTTGAAGCGGGAAACTCTGACAACCACATAAAATATTAAGGATACATTTCGTTTTCCCTAGCTCTACTCGTGTGCAACGGTTAGTGGGAAGTTTGGATCTAATAAAGATCACAGAGCATGATGTTACTGATATTCCTGTTTAAATAATATACTGTGCTGTTATTCATTTGATATCAACAGCAAAAACTGTTATGAAGAATATGTGCTAGCTGTGACGGGGTTATGACACAAGGTAGCCTGTATCAATACATATATTCTCCTCAACATCAATACACTAGCATTGATAATGATGCCACAGTGTTAAAATGTTCTTTGCCATCTAAGCTCAAAAAACAGTGTCAGAAAAAAAATGCAAAAATTGATGCTCGTCTCTGGGGCAGTACTTTTAAAGGGACCGGTTTGTACCTTATCCACCCCTAATAGTTGTGTATTCGTACCTTAGAGTATTAATATGTGCATTTAAGGTACTACTATGAACCTTTTAGGGGTAAATATGGTGTCCCTTTGAGGGTACGTCCCAGTGACAAGCTATTGTACCCCTAAAGGTAAAATTTTTGCATTGTTTTTTTTTCTGAGAGTAAACCTCAAATTACACAAAAATGTTCCTCCTAACTCATAGCTTTACTTGGGAACTGCATTATAAAAATAACAGTGATTTAATCCTACAAAAGTAAGAACTCTGAAACAATACATGGAATTTAAAGACAAGAAAAGGTCAACAGTAAACTCAACAAAAATATATCTTGGGGACACAAGCAATAACTATCATCTAAGACCATACTGTAAGACCCAGCAGTCAACTCTCCACCTATTCAACACAAATAACAATCCACATACTGAACGTCCAAATGTGGGGGGTGTTTCTACTTGGCATGTTGTACTTTTTATTTCAGGTTTGTTATTAATAGCATAGTGACGTTTAGCCAGGCTTGACTTTGACAGATCCGACTTCTTCACTTCAATGAAGATGCAAGAAACGCGAAATGTGGCAGAAAATCCACCACAACTAAAAGAACAAGTGTTACTGCAAATATCTGTAAGGCACTAATTTACAACTATCCGCTAAAGTGAAGACACCCTGTTTTAGCAGCTCTCTGTGAGACTGAAACATTTCTAGAACTTGTTTCCTCAACTGAACCGTGTGCATCTTCCCAACAACTAATTCATGGAACAAGTCAGTAAATATAATAAAACATTAAATACAGGAGTTAAGTAATAAATACATTTTATTTTATATAAATATGTGGGCCCTTATTTCCAAATTGTCTGGGAAACGTAGAAAAGAATGAATGTACAATAATGACAACACCTGTTAACATTCATAGAACAAGCTGCCCTATTAAAATAATGGCATGTTTAATTTGAGAAACTGTAACATTGATGAGACACTGGCAGCATCTATAGTGACGCGTTCTTCGATATGACTCGACGTGTGACTGTTAGCTTTGAACGGGGTGAGATTGCACGGTTTATACAAGGAGGACAGAATTATGGATTCCCCTCAGAAGCGTCCCGACACATGATCGATGCAGGTAGTTCCTGGTCCCTTTTTCATTTGATAGGTATGTTTTAACAGAGCTAATTACTTGCTAAATCGGTGTTTAATATAAAATTTGATTCTAAGCCCCAGCACCTCCTCAGTACTACAGAAAAAGACGTGGGTTATAAGAGAGATCAGTAGAGAGTGGCAATGTCGCCACCTGCCGCATTATTAGTTTTCATTCATTTAATACCCCAGCGCAGTAAAACCTGTCATTATCATATCTAATGTTTGATCGATTTTAAACTTGAAGTGTTTTTGCCTCTATGTACAGCTATACAGACTGAGGCGATGCCACGCTGTGCGTTCTCGATGAAGGGGAGAGTAGTCGTCCGTGCTGTCCTCTCTCTCTCTCTCTCTCCTTCCTACAGTCTGCCCATACAGGTGGCTGTTCTGCTTCACTTGCGATCGTCGATGGTTTTAATGAATTCCACGGCAGCAGTGAACTGCATCCACCAATAGCACTCCTCCCCACTCAGTCTGCTGGCGTAGAAATTATTAATGTACTGAATGGTGGACAGAAGGCAGGGAGGGTTTGCCTGGAGGGAGGGAGAGAACGAGCGAGAGGGGGGAATTAACGTATGAGTTAACATCTGACCACCCACATTGTGCATGCTTACACATTCAAGCGCACTTACAAGTTTAGAAAATCTGGTGTGGGTGTGTGCATAGCAAATGCAAATAGGTATGGGGTGGGGAAAACTGAAAAAACTGCACAAAATAACAAAACTTACACGCATCAAGCAAACAAAATAACTCTAGCATTAGGATCAGAGCATTAACTTTGTTTCTGAAGACTTGACAGGTTTTAACCTTGAAGCAAACTAGCATTCAAAAGTTTGTAACTTTTTTTTTTAAGAAATTAATACTTTTATTCAGCAAGGATGCATAAAATTGATCAAGCGCGACAGTAAAAAGATTTTTCTTTTCTAATAAAACCTGTTCTTTTTACATTTTTATTGTATTTTTGATCAAATAAATGCAGTCTTGTAGAGCATAAGAGAGACTTCTTTCAAAAACATTTTAAAAAACGTACCAAACCCAAAACATTTGAGCGGTAATGTCTATAAAATTAACTTGATAATTTACTCACACCCATGTCATCCGAGATGTTCATGTCTTTCTTTCTTCAGTCGAAAAGAAATTAAGGTTTTTGAGGAAAACATTCCAGCATTGTTCTCCATATAATGGACTTCAATGGTGGCCAACGGGTTGAAGGTCCAAATTGCAGTTTCAGTGCAGCTTCAAAGGGCTCTACATGATCCCAGCCGAGGAATAAAGGTCTTATTCTAGAGAAATGATCTGTCATTGTCATTTTCTAAAAAAAAAGAAAAAAAAAAGAAAAATGTATATACTTTTTAACCACAAATGACATCTTGCACTAGCTCGACTTCACGCATTACATACTCACGTTGGGAAGGTCACGCATGACATAGACGGAAGTACCAACCCAGCGTTTACAAAGCGAACGTGCAAAGAAAGTCAAACACCCTTTGTCTTTCTTTCTTCAGTCGAAAAGAAATTAAGGTTTTTGAGGAAAACATTCCAGCATTGTTCTCCATATAATGGACTTCAATGGTGGCCAACGGGTTGAAGGTCCAAATTGCAGTTTCAGTGCAGCTTCAAAGGGCTCTACATGATCCCAGCCGAGGAATAAAGGTCTTATTCTAGAGAAATGATCTGTCATTGTCATTTTCTAAAAAAAAAGAAAAAAAAAAGAAAAATGTATATACTTTTTAACCACAAATGACATCTTGCACTAGCTCGACTTCACGCATTACATACTCACGTTGGGAAGGTCACGCATGACATAGACGGAAGTACCGACCCAGCGTTTACAAAGCGAACATGCAAAGAAAGTCAAACACCCTTTACAAAAAAGGTCAAACAACGATGTCGGATGATTTTGAAGTTGGAGGAGAAAATGAGACGGAGTTACACCCTACCCTATCTTTCTGAACCAGAGTATACAGACGAAGAGCTAACCGCACGTGACTTTTCCACTGTGATTACGTGATGCGTCCAGCTAGTGCTAGACCAGCATTTGTGGTTAAAAAGTATATAAATTTTTATTTTTTTTATTTTTGAAAATGACCCATTTTTTTGCTACATAAGACACTTATTCCTCGGCTGGGATTGTGTAGAACCCTTTGAAGTAGGGCTGCACGATAAATCGCATGCGATATTTAACGCGCATCTTATCAGTGAAGCCGGTTCTGTAATCAGCGGTAAATCTCCATCACCTGCGGGCTTTCACATTGAGCAGCATTAACTACACAGAGCCGTTGTTCACTAACGAGCTGCGCAAAACCACGTTCATATTCGCGCGATTTTTTGCGCAGCTCCTCAGTGAACAACGGCTCTGTGTAGTTAATGCTGCTCAATTTGCGCAGCTCCTAAGGGGAAAAAAAAAAAAAAAAAAAAAAACTTCATTTCTTCACAACTGAAGAAAGAAAGACATGAACATCTTGGATGACATAGGAGTGAGTCAATTATCAGGAAATTTGTATTCTGGAAGTGAACTAATCTTTTAAATAGAATAATCTAGTTTCATTTTTAAACAGTTTCATTTTTAAAATGTCATTTGTAGCAGTGATGCACAATATATTGGTACCATATCAGCTACTGGCTAATATAGCGTTTTTTTTGTTTTTTTAATTTATGTATTTTTTTTCACAAATATTTTTTATTTATTGTATCAGTGGAAATTAAATTGTTCAGCTAGTTTTAAGCATCAGGGAGGCCAAAACAAAGGCATATTAGGCATCTTTTTAAAGGACAAAGCAATGGATCCTGCTCTCATGAAACTGCAAGTTGCTTGTATTTGAAAGGATATGCAGTTTTTCATTACATCTTAAAGCTGCTTAATAAAGTCATTATGTGTTGTGGATGTACTGTAGTTGTGATTACAGAACAAGCTGAATTTATTTAATGAACTTCTAAAGAGATATTTTTATTAAATACCAAAGAATATTTGATTACTTAGAAGACACCAATGCTTATGGGCCTTAGTGCCAACTATCAGAAATTATCATTTGTACTGTTACAGAATGCACAACACACTTAACGCAATTATGAACATTAACACTCTAAGGTTGTCTCTTAACTCACTTTAATCAGGACAAAGACGAGCACAGGGACAAAGTCGTCAGCCCCGGGTACAGCGTCCTCATTAGCCAGGCTGAGCAGGTTCATAATTGTGGAGCACATGCGCAGGATACACTGTACTTTATCTCGTGGGGTCTTATAGGCGTTGATGGTCCTGATCTCAGCCTGTGCTGAGGGCCATGGTGCCTCCTTCAAATAGACCTGCATAGATTCACACACACACAAAGATCAAATTGCTATCTTTCTGTCTTTGTTTCTTACTATATTTTGAGACATAGTGCAAATGGTTACCTCCGGGATCTGCAGGGCTTTGTGATTGGCCGTCACCACTTTGGACAGACGCTGAATGTGCTCCAGGAATAGCCTTGAATAAAGGAGACATACCATTAACCACTTATACTATTTTCTTGTGCAAATAAACAAGATCTCGCCCATCCCTATTTCAAATGGCTGTGCTTTTATGGTTTGCGATATACTGGTAAAAATTCTCTCCATGATAAGAATTAGTCTTCTCGTGATAACGATAAAACCTAGTTGTTGACATATTTCTGTTTTCGACCGTGTGGAGTGCCATGGCGGAAAGCAGACGTGAAACTGATGAGGAGTTTATAGCTAAATGAGGAGCTGCCTCTACAATCTGGGACTGGTTTGGTCAATGCTGTGCAGTGCTACAAAAAAAATCTGTCTGTGCAATGAATAAATGTACTACAGTAGCACAATATTTTATAGTATTCTATACAGTGATAAAGGCGAGTGATAAAAGTGATAAATTGATTAGCATTGCATTATAAATATACTTTATTCTTATAAAAATACCCAAGATGGCTTGAAGAACACAGATAAACCATATATTGTCATAATCATGTTTATTGTCTTCATGTTTGGTCAGTTTAAGCATTTCTATCATTTAACTCAGCTACAGCGATAGATGGATGTACATATATATATATATATAGCTGATGTCTTCTTTGTCCATATTAGGGATTTCCTGGAACGTCATAAGTTCTATTACTGTGATGCATATGAGGAGTTTCTGCGCGAGGGCGGTAAAAATAGGAAAGATAATACTTCTCTCTAAACAAACAGGAGTTTTTTTGAATATGAATATGAATTATCGTCATTGATATTGTGTTATCGCAATAAATACATTTTAGTTTAATATGCAGGCATAAACATGATTTTGTACTAATGAGATTTCATTGTGGGCGGGGCTATCCAGTGCAATGCGATAAAGACAGAAACCATTTGACTGACAAAATGTCAGACAGATTAGTATAGAGGAGGTTGCTTAATGCATCACATCTGGTTTAGACACTATGTGGAAATTAACAGGAATAAGGAAGAAGGTTTTATGAGTTTCCTCACTCGTCTCTGTGAATGTCCCCATCCTGATTGGGGTAGAATGCCAGTTTGAAGATGCGGTTCATGACGCTGCGTTCGATGGCCATCTGGGCGTCCTGGAGCTGCTCTTCACTGGCGTACTGCCAGATGGCATCGTGGGCCATGGCTCCATACAGGTAACGCAGAAAATCCTCCACGGCTGCCGTCTTATCGTCAGCTGCTGTGCAGCCCTGAAATGCTGCAGAACCACAGAGAGAGTCAGACTTAACTGCAGGGATCTCACGCTATCATTTCATACGACTCAAATTTAGTTGAACTAAATGTACGCATGGTCATTTTATTTTGCACTAAGAAAATATTTTATTTTTTCGACCAGCTGCAGCTACTCCAGACACTTTATTTTGCCTATGTGAAATAAAATTATTTTATTTACAAATATTGTACGTGCAAATTTACTGCCAAGTATTTTAGTGCTTTTTTTAAAGTGTTATTTAGCAAGGATATGCTAAATTGATCAAAAGTGACCGTAAATCCATGTATAATGTTACAAAAGATTTATATTTCAAGTACAACCTGTTCATTTGAATTTTCTATTCATCAAAGAACTCTGAAAAAAATACATCATGACTTTTAGTGAGTATTCATGAGTATTAAGCAAAACAACTGTTTTCAACTGTTTTCTGAAGGATCGTGTAAGACTGAAGGATCCTTAAAAAATGTAGCTTTGCCATCACAAGAATAAATTACATTCTAATACATATTTTATGTAAAATAATTTCACAATATTAACGTTTTACTGTATTTTTAATCAAACAAATGCAGATTTGCTGAGCATAAGAGACTTTTGAACGGTACTGTATTTTTAAATACACTGTAATGTTTCTGGTCTAATAATGAGACTGCAACCTGTCTGCAGTTCTCCATGAATACAATCTCAGACATCATTCATCTGCTAAACTGCAGAGTATTACATTAGAAAGGCATGTAATATAAGTCACTATATTCTGAAAAGGGCCAATCATGCATAAATAACTACACAATTAGTATCTGTAAAACATGTATTTTTGTAACTGTTGAACTGGCCCCATGGAGAACTCCAGCTGGCTAGTGACCACCAAGTAATTAAAGTTTGAGACCTCAACTCTAATGAGACAAATATCCACCTCTGCCCTGAGAACGACTCAAACACACTGGATTTTTCAGGATTCGGCAATCGACACCAAACGAGCAAGCATAAGCAGTTCACATATTCATAGAGGTGCATACAGACCTTTGATGAAGTCAAGCATCTTTGACTCCATGTGTTCCAGGAGCAGTCGGACACAGACGGTGGTAAAGTAGCGGTTAGCCACTTCTTTATCTCTCAACACTCTCTGCAGGAGTCGCTCCAGATGAGCCTGAGATGTCTGCAGGCCTTGCCTGCACCGCGTCAGATAGGCAATGTACGGAGCCCGTTTCCTAGTGCACAAAACCATCACAGTGCTCACTATGGAGTCATGCCCAAAAATATGTCAACACAATCTTTTATTAAATGGTGATTCATAGTTGTGTGTGAGAGAAGTGAGTAAAAGAGAGAAACAATGTGACTAAGTTAGTGAGACATTAAGAGAGAGAGAAAGATAGAGAGGGAGAAAATAAGAGAGTAATGTGTGTACTTGTAGTCCTCTGCCATGGCAGTGAGCAGTTTTCTGCAGGTGCGGGGGTCGAGGTGGCTGACGCAGCGCGTAGTCTCCTGGATCTGAGCCATCTGGTTCTTATCCTGCAGGTTAATGGCCTCCGCCAGCTGCACCTTCAGAAAGCACACAATCTCGTTGTCTGAGAAGAGAGAGGAGACAGGGGCCAGACATAAATGCACAGCGTTTTGAACCTCAAAACCTGTGGAACAGCTACTTTCACCCCATGTGTACAGAGCTACGAAAACTTTAGTTCAGATGAAGGTTCCTTTTAAACAGGACTGCACCCTAGCATAAAAAAAAAATAATAATAATAACAACAACAATAATAATTTATAAAATAATAATAATAATAGTAGTGTTAATAATAATCATTATAGTATTAGTATTAATTATTATAAATAGTATTAATTTATTATTGTCATCATTATTATTATTACAAACTAAAAGAAACATATTACAACTTTGTAAAAAGTATAGCATAAGTCAAGTATAGATAATAGGAGATAATATGGATAGCAAGTAACCTTCAGGATCTGCATGGTCTGGGAGACCGTTACGTGTTGTTGCCAGTGGAATGATGGGAAATACAACTGAATCTGCAGAGCACAGCGCCAGGCGTAGCTTTTTCTTAATATCACTGCAGAGATACAACAGACAGATTATGCACACATAAGGTCAAAATTCACTCATCATTCTGATTCTGTTAAATGTTCATTGCCATTTGGTTCCTGAGATTTAGACTTTCAGAATGTACTGATTTTACTTTCAAGAGAAAAAAAAGTGTGAGTGAGAGTTTGTTTGTCTAAGACAGTGTTTCCCAACCTTTTTTTAGTCGCGGCACCCTTTGGAAATTTTAACAAACTTGTGGCACCCTACAAAATTTTGTCACAATATTTGAATTTCTAACTTCGATGTGATAATTTGAAAAGTATAGATATTCGGTACAACAGGGAAGAACTGCAGAATATAATGTCATACAGATATTTTTAATATTATTAAAAAATTTTGTCCATCAATGGTGGCAATCAGCAGGCTAATTTCTAATGAAGAGACCAATTTATATGACAGATTTTAATGTAGGCTTCTATACACATGTAAACATTATTTAATTACCATTATAACTAGCTATCTCACAAATTTTTGCTCACTCAGTGTTTTTTTAATTTTACAGTGGGGTAATTTTGGTGCAGTAGCACGAGATAGCTTGATTTCAAACTTTGAATTGAATAAAAAATGACAAGTAAGCAGTCAGTAATAAAATAAGAACAAATAAAGA